GGGGTCGTGGTTGGGGTGGTTGGGGTGGTGGTTGGGGTCGTGGTTGGTGTCGGGGTTGGGGTTGTGGTTGGGGTCGTGGTTGGAGTCGTGGTTGGAGTCGTGGTTGGAGTCGTGGTTGGAGTCGTGCTTGGAGCCGTGCTTGGAGTCGTGCTTGGAGTCGTGCTTGGAGTCGTGCTTGGAGTCGTGCTTGGAATCGTGCTTGGAGTCGTGCTTGGAATCGTGCTTGGAGTCGTGCTTGGAGTCGTGCTTGGAGTCGTGCTTGGCGTTGTTGGAGTCGTTATACTAGTCGTGATGTTGATTGAAGTCGTGTTAGAATGAAAAAGTTTTATTGGATGTTATTTTAATAACAAAAAATAAATAACTGAAAACTTACATTGGACAATTCGCCGTCCCATTATTATATCCATTATTATTTCCGTTATAGTTACCGTTTCCATATCCAACGTTATCATTTCCGTTGAGATTTCCGTTTCCATTCCCATTGTTTCCATTTCCATTGCAATTACCATTTCCTGATCCGATGTTGTTGTTTCCATTTCCATTACCATTATAAGAACCGTTATTATTGTTTCCATTTCCGTTGCCATTAAGAGAACCGATATTGTTGTTTCCATTTCCATTACCATTATAAGAACCGTTATTATTGTTTCCATTTCCGTTTCCATTAAGAGAACCGACATTGTTGTTTCCATTTCCATTACCATTATAAGAACCGTTATTATTGTTTCCATTTCCGTTTCCATTATTACTACCCGTATTATTATTACCATTCGAATTACCATTATTTGATCCTTTATTTGCGTTTCCATTTCCATTTCCATTATTACTACCAACATTTGCGTTTCCGTTAAGATTTCCATTGTCACTACCAACATTCGCGTTTCCGTTGAGATTTCCATTCCCATTACCAACATTTGCGTTTCCGTTTCCATTTCCATTATTACTACCAACATTTGCGTTTCCGTTAAGATTTCCATTGTCACTACCAACATTTGCGTTTCCGTTAAGATTTCCATTGCCACTACCAACATTTGCGTTTCCGTTTAGATTTCCATTGTCACTACCAACATTCGCGTTTCCGTTGAGATTTCCATTGCCACTACCAACATTGCCGTTGCCATTCAAGTTACCATTATTGGACCCTGTATTGCCATTGCCATTTCCATTTCCATTATTACCACCAGCACTAGGTGTCGGTGAAGTAGCGGGATTAGTAGCGGGACTAGATGAGCTCGATGGAGCAGCAGGAAGAGGTCCAGCATTCGAATTGCCATTCAAATTGCCATTGTTACTGCCAGCGTTTGCATTACCGTTGCTATTTCCATTGTCACTGCCGGCATTATTGTTACCATTCAAATTACCATTATTAGATCCCGTATTGCCATTGCCGTTTCCATTTCCATTATTATTGCCACCGGCAATAGATGTCGGTAAGGTAGCGGGACTAGTAGCGGGACTGGCAACAGAACTGGCAACAGGACTATCAGCAGGACTCGCAGCGGGACTAGATGAACTCGATGGAGCAGCAGGAAGGGGTCCAGCATTCGAATTGCCATTCAAATTGCCATTGTTACTGCCAACGTTTGCATTACCGTTGCTATTTCCATTGTTACTGCCAGCATTATTGTTACCATTCAAATTTCCGTTATTAGATCCTGTATTAGCATTGCCGTTTCCGTTGCCATTATTTGATCCGACATTTCCATTTCCATTTGCGTTGCCATTATTTGATCCAACATTTCCATTTCCATTTCCGTTTCCATTCCCAGATGCTCCAGGAATATTAACACCTGGAATATTTAACGAGGGTAATTGACGCTTTTCTATTTCAGCTGGCCAAGCATATGTGAATTGTAGCGACGTAAATACGAGTAGTGCGACAAGAATAATGGAAATGACTAGAATACGAATTGGAGAATGAATCGACGAAATTTTTGTTTTTGCCATTTAATAATAATTGTTTTTAAATTATGGGTTTGTAATCCATTAAAAGTGTTATTTTTTATTTATATTGATTATTGCCTTTTAATTATAAAAGTGGTTTGATAGTTAATAAGAATTATCGTAAAAATTTTTACGAAAATCAAAACACGAAACTTACTCGATATTTGTTTTTTTTTGTTCTGTTTTTCCACGCGTTCTATGTTTTTATTATTTAGTGCCAGAGTAGACCAGACACATTCACTCGTTGATTATTTAAAATTAAAATATCAAAAAGCGAATATTAAAAAGCAAGAAGCGAGAGAGAAGAAAAAACGGGGGCGTTGCTTTTGTTTCTTAAAAATACCTCAAGTGGCAATTTTTTATTATCTTACACACTCAGTTTAGGGCGGTGTACATACCACAAAAGAGAACATTTCATTTTTATGCATCATTATTTGTTACATATAAATTGTTCTTTATACAAATTGAGTCCCTCTATTTGTATATATGCGGAAAGCCCCTTTTGTATCCATAATTACGAGGATAATAATAGAAATAACAAGTTTCGTATTATAACTAAATATAACATTAATTGATGATGATTATGAAAAAAATGGCTGTGCATATTGTGTATATGTATGTCTGATCTGACAATCTACATAGCCTTTACTCGGTACTTTTCATGGAGCATATACATGTAAATGTTGAAGAAGTTTCTGCCAAGCCCTGGAAACTCTATTTTTAAAGCTTATTTCTTTCTCTGGAATGTATACAATACAATTGAGCTTCAACTTTTTCATTCAACAGAAATTAGGAAATCATCAAAATACATGTTACATGTATTATATTATGCAAGAGGCACTTTTTTATATCAAATTTTGTGTTGATTTCTTTTTCGGTAAATTTCTTTCGCTATGTTATATAGTTAGTTATACATGTATATGCACATGTATATGTAATCTATATCCCATCGTTACTAGCGCAGCCCACTGAAACGATCAAAAGTTTTCTTTTCTATAGGTTATTTATAGCGATGATAATATTTTCTTAACCTTTGTAGATGTAAATTCACTTTTCCATTATTATAATTATAAGTTTTATCGTTATTGTAATTTCGCTCATTCGTTACCACAGATCAGGTGTTGGTGCTTATACATACATTCCTTTTATATGCATGATTTCTCTCATTTTCATCCGTTTTCCGATATTAATGACGACATGATAGGAGATGAATTACTGCATTTATAAAGATGATAATAATACTAAAAAAAAATTTTGTTCTAAATAAAGAATCCATTTTTCTTGGCAATATGTTTTTAATTTTAATTGAGAAAAACTCGTAGGCTAAGTTCTCAACGATTGTGTACAATCACGGTGGTGAATGACAACATATATGTATGTAAATAGTTATCATTATGTCCTACTTATATCAAAAAAAATAATAAACATAACGATGAAGTCTTTGGAGATTTTGACTTTGTCTCCGTCAATATTCAATATTGATCCAAAACAAATGCTTATTTACAAACATAACTTTCTTGCTTTTTAACTTTTTTAACCAGATCCGAATCAATGTTTTGCAGTCAACTCTATTTACAATAACATTTTGACTCTCAGTTTGTAATGGAATTCCTGTAGTGTTACTGTAACGTGTACGTAACATCAAAAGTTGTGTTCCAGAGTACGTTATTGTAACAGAGAGATGTTTGCATCTCTCAATTTTCATCAAAAATTCATCGAGATATTAGGTACCAAATATCCCAATTTTAAATTAATAAAACAATTCGATTAATTTTTTTTACATATTTGAAAGATTCCATAAAAGGAAATTTCTAACGTTTTAAACTTCTTCAGTGACAAAATTTATTAATTGAAAAATGCATTTTATTTATTTGCACGCGGGGATATCTGTAATACTAACAAATATTTATCATTATCAACACACACATTATATGCAAAGTTATCTAAAGATCTTCTTAATTGGGAAGAGAATAAACCTTTAAATATGATAAATTAGGTAATAAAAACTTGCATCATAAACTTTATGATAATGAATTATGGCTTTCATCCAAAGATGAACTTCATTTGAGTTCTAAATTTTTGCCCGGATTGGTTGTTTGCCTAGATTCATCAGGTGACTTTCAAATTTATTAAGATCTGCATGTTGTTTGATAATAAAATTATAAGAGCTTTAAATTTCAGGTTTTTTATTTATTACATCGAAACATCATAGTAGGAATGTTAAAAAATCTGGTCTGCTCCCAGTCCTGTCTAAGAATTTGAAAGTATAATGAATAAGCTATTTGGACTTGAGTTTTTTACAGTTCATTATTTAAAAATATTTTTTTAGTCTTAAATTAATTGAGTTTAATAATGAAAAAAATAACTAGTTCTATTATTTAATATTCTTATCAATTAACGGCTTTATTTCAAGTTTACAAATTAAAGAAAAATTAATCAAAGAACTTTTATAATAAAGAAAAAATCTTTTAACTTCAAAGAATATGTTTTAAGTAATTCTTTTTTATATTTTAAAAGAAATAAACAAAGAATTTTTAAATACTAGCTTTATTATATAATACTTATTATAATATTCTCTTAATAAAGTATTTTTCTTTTATAGTATAGAAATATTATTCAATTTTGAATAGGAATATTTTTGAATAGTATTTTAATACTAATTATAATTAGTTAAATATATAATATGATAGTTAATATATTAGTTAAAATAATATTTATTTTTTACATTAATATTTTTATATTTTTTTAAATTTTTTTATATTTATTATTCAATTATATATATATATCTAATTAATTTTATATAATTTTTAAAAAATTTAGTAATATAATCCTAATAATTATATATTTAATAAATAAAATTCTAATATTAAACAAATAATATTTAATTATTTAAAATATAATTTATTTTAATCAATTATAAATATAATACTTATCATAGTATTTACTTTTTGATCTTATTTTTGAATTTATTTTTTATTTATAATATTTATTATATAATAATAATTAAAAGTAATATAATGCTTGAATTTTTTATTAATTATAATTAATAAAATATATATTTTTTCTTATATATAAAAGTTTTTAATTTTACTAATAAATATTT